TCGAACAGGTAAGAAGAGTTTTGGTTAATCTTTGGATTATTGTAACTTAGCAATTTTTTGGCGATAATTTCGCGACCAACCCTGCTACAGCTACCTGCTAGTTTTTGTTCGGACGCCATTTTGTTTTCACGAAGTAAAGGCTCCTTTTTTTTTTTTTTTTAACTCAACATTTTTTTCCAACAATCTGCTAGCTGAATTACGCTAGAACTTTTATGGAACAAAAGTGCTTAATCACGACGAAGATTAGGTGCAAAATTGGGAGAAAGTGCAGAATTGCAAGCTGCTTGCCGCGTTTATAAAAATTGCACATACACGGTATCCACGTACACGTCGACTTATTTTCACTTAAAAAAAATTCTAGAATTCCACAAAAATGGCATTACGCACACTCTTGACTTTATCCATGTACACTTCTAAAGTCCTAGCTAGTAACCTTTATCGCCTTACCAAAATGTCGCCAAACTACCTGTTACCATATTCCAAACATTAGCCAAAGTTTTTATTTATCGAAGTACTTTTAAATATGATGAAAATAAAATTAATAATTAGTGTATATAATATTTATCTGAATAAATTTAGTAATGTACGGCGGTTGCCAACACCATACAATGAAGCAAAATAAATACAAATATTAACTAATTAAACATTGGTAGAATCTTCATATAAAAATCTATAGATGACTGCAGTATATTAAGACAACTCTGATAAAATGAAATTTAATAAGATAAAGATCAATAAAATATAATAAAAAACATAGTTCACACGAAATAAAATTTAATAAGAAAAATTGTTACTTTTCCGTTTCGCCGGCGCAAATCTTGCCAAGCAGACTTTATTGGCGACAACATATATTATACATATAAAATGTTAACAATGTTAGTTGACAGAATTTTTTATTTTGAAGGCATAAGCATTTTAATAGCGTTTAAAATTTTGTAGAAAACCAATAAATTTCTAAATACAGTCAAAAGTCTTTAATTCGTACTCGTCGGGACTTTGGCGATTCCCGATTGTCGGTTCCGGATTATAGATATCAGTTTAAATCTGGTAAGATGGCATGCAGAAATTAAAAATATGAAACCGTAATTTATGAAATAAAGAGCAAAAAAAAGCTTAATATTTATTTGTTTACTTTATTAAACATTTCTTTGAACGCGAACATGCGTAAAGCATACATTACGCATTGTCGAAATTAGAAAATTGCCACCAGAAAACTATTTGATGTGTATTCATGATATTTATAATGATGAGGAATTCGATTTAAATCATATCAAAAACTTATTAAATTATATATTTTTTTTGGTTGATCTTTGGATTATGGTAACTTGGCGATTTTTTAGCGAAAATTTGGCGACCAACTCTGCTACAGCAACCCTCTATTTTTTTTTCCCGCCGCCATTTTGTCTTCACGAAGTAAAGACATGTTTCTTTTCTTTTTATTTACTGAACACTTTTTCCAACAATCTACTAGCCGAATTTATGTAACAAAACTGCTTAATCATGACAAATATTAACTGCAAAATTGGGAAAAAGTTCACAATCGCAAACTCCTTGCACGTTTTTCAGAATAGCACATACACATAAACCATTTACACGTTGACTTATTTTTACTTAAAAAAACATCCCAGAATTGCACAAAAATGGCATTGCACACACTCTTAACTTTATCCATCTACACTATTTTCTCATTAATTACAAAAATTTGCACGAAAATGCAGGAATATTTTCTTAATCTTTAAACTCAATAAAAAGCACATATATGAAAATACCTGATCGCGAAAAAGTACATACCCTTTCCAAGGATGAACATTTCTAAGTATAAAATAAATAAAATATCCAAAAACTTTTACCTCTAAATTATCTATTATATTATAAACGTCAGCAACAAATTTATACGCAAACATTAAAAATAGTTACAAATACTTAAATTATTTCCATACACGTTTACTTCAACTGAAACGTATACCAAATTCCTACAAACATAAAATTCACAAAATAACTCTAAATACGAAATTTCTAGATTTCCCCCCTTTTCCGATTAAACAACTATAATTCGTCCATTAATGTCACATGACATATCTCATGATCTCTCATTTCCCTCACACAAAATAATGCGTAATCGGAACTGAGTGCTTCTCACATTATTACAAAAGTCCTAGGTAGTAACCTTTATCGCCTCCAAAATGTCGCCAAACTACCAGTTACCATATTCCAAAGATCAGCCTTTTTTTAAAAAATATGTCTTTGACAATTTCCTTTACGACAGTTTTTCTTAAACCTTTTCCAGGGTCACAAAAATTTCAAAAAATGAAATGAAATATTGCACGATACAGGTATGTAGGTTTTTAAAATTGTTTTATAATGACAGAATCAGAAATCTATTTCAATACAAAGACTAACCTTACCTTTTACCAATGAACAAACAGATTTCTAAAAATACGAAGGAAAAATAGCCAGTTTTCTTAATTTGGAAGAAACTAAACCAGATTTTCATCATTTTTGTCTTGTATAATATGAATTTGCATAATACAAATTCCTTAGAAACCAAGCAACTAATTTACATGTAAATTACCTATAAATAAACCACTATGGCAGAATTTTAAGCGTTAGTTTCAAACTTTACAAAATACAGATTTATGGCAGCAACAAGCACCGCCATCTTTTAGTATTCATGCAAAGTTGACATACAAGACAGAAACAGGTAACAAAATAAAAAATACAATAAATTTCATTATCTCTAAATCCTCTTTCACGTATTCAGCATAAATAATTTTCTTCAAAATATTTTATTAAACTTGGATGAGTTAAAATGATTTTTTGAATGAACACTATTATAGAAATATTATTAGTTTCTACATGGGTAATCTTCAGAATCACCAACTGGACAGATTTTGATTTCATTTCACTCTTTTTATATCAAATTTAAATAATTATGCAACATTTTATTTATTTATCTCTACATATTTCATTCATACTTTATGAAATTCAATCCATAACAAATCGCTAATTTCTTTTTTCCCAAACTACATTACTAACTATTAGAAATACATAATAAAAATACATATTTTTTTTACTATTCAACAATTTAATAGGTAAACATTCTTTCAAGTAAACTATACAATTAACATATTTCGATTTAATACTATGATACACTAACAAATCAATTACTTCAAATACAACTAAATAATTAGAAAATAACAAGTAGGAAATGTTATGCAACACATTTTTAAAATTTTTTAATAATTAAATTAAAATATATAACTTCCATTAAAATGGTCTGACATTTATAAATATCTAGAATAGTCAAACTTTACAATAAATTTCCTTAATTTCTTTCTCTATCATAATTTTCAAAGCAGTAACTAATAAAATAAGATACAAATATTTAACTCTAATAAATGTGCATCAGATGTTTGAATTTCTATACCAAAATATATTAAATCAGACATATAAAATTAAACAACATTCAAAAATGCAGTATTCTAATATCATACATGGAATAAATTTCAAAATTTACACCATGCTTGTTTACACATTTAAAATGAATATTCGCATTTAAAACACAAGAAAACAAACTGTATTCTTTGTTAAATATTCTATACTATAAAACTGTACTAAAATGATCCACTAAATTTGGTCTAAACAAGACGGAAACATGTAACTAATTATCAAAACACACACAGGACTGTAATGTAGCTCTTTACGTGCTATGGGTTGCTGCCCACACATCAAAACATTAAGAGACCTATTAATAAAGCACTGCCGTTCAAGAAGGCTTCTGATAAAACTGTAGAATGGTCAATGCACATTTAATTCATTTTCAACGAGTTTAAAAGAAAAACACAAAAGTGAAGAAATACCAAAAAATTTGTCGGAATTGTTAATCTACAACATAAAATGTAGCCCCATTTAAACATGGATACCTCACAGCAGTCGAGCAGTGATGTCCACTGGTAGTTGGCACCCAAAATGTAAACTATAGCTTTAAAAGTATGAATTGTTGCTAATTATGTAACACTAGAATTTCTTTTTCTCATATACTTACTGGAATTAGAAATTTCAGGAGCAGCCATTTCTGGATTCTCCTCTTTCATGTCGCTATTCTCCGCCATCTTAGCGACTTAGCAAAACGCTATGGCACTATCTAAACATTAACTGTAAACAGGAAGCCGACTAACTTGGACGAGAAGTCTCATCCCTTAGTTCACGGCGCTTTCCACATGATGGCTCTGTTGTATCATCTGCACTTTTTTTTATTTATTTGTTCAAAATTTATTAAATATTACACAAAAACAGATAAATTTAAAATATATTAATCAAAATACGGAAAATTTATTCCCTGTAATATCATTATTGATCGTAAAAATAACGAGAAAAAATATTTAATCAGATAAAAATTGCAAAATTAGTCCCACAGTTATTAAATGCTTATAAAAATTATACAAAATAGAATTATTGTAAAGGCCTGAAATTAATATAACTCATATATATATACTAATATGAGAGGTTTGTATAAATTTACCACTTTTACATCAGTTCGTTCAATAATTCGGTTGCTCCCGCCTAAACTGGATGAAATGATAATCTGTCCAATTGAGGAAAACAGTCAAAAGTAAATTAATGAAATTGAAATCCACTCTAAACTTTAATTCTTGTTTTAACTACTGCATGGAAAGAAAGTATCAGCTTAGCACAATTAAGCTAATACTTTTTCTCAAAACAGATTTATAATTATTACTTAATTTACAGAAGTATAATTTAATTTCTAAAAGAAAACTAGGCTTTCTTGCAGAATTTTTACAAGTATACACATCTTCCTTTTTTTCTGAGAAAACTAAAAAAAAAAAAATTAAATACCCTTCAAAAAATATAACAACCACCTTTAAAATTGCATAAACAAACATTTTCTAAAAATTAAAGCGTTCAAAATCACTCCCCATAATTTACATTATAAGGAATCATTACTGATTTAATAAAATCAGTCCTATATTAACACTTACCCAGTGAAGTTCACTAATTGCCGATGATGATTTTTCTCGAACATACGAGAACGAGTTATGTGACAAATCCGAAATATCTGTCAAACACATTGTGCCCAGCATTTTGTGTTTCTTCTGCATAGTCCATTAACTACTGAGCACAAGCTACAAACTCCGATACATTCACATGCTAACTACTGAGCGAAACCGCTCAGCCACTGACTGTAATTTCGCTCAGGATTCCCACGTCGTGGTTTAACCGCAGCGCCATCTGCCAAGGTTTTCCAATCGAACGAGCTACAATTCCGCAAATCGGAACCCGGAAGTGTGTTGTACGTTATCACCGGAAGTGTACCTACGTCATCGTTACATTATCTTTGCTGACCAATGGCATACGAGCAGGGTTAATATAGTTCTAACGGTGGTTGCCCTACTCTTTGATTTATCACTGCTTGGCAATTAGAATAGGTAAATAATATCGTAAACAAGCACAGCAGTTATCGGTAACAATTTGCTATCGCTGTTATATGGTATGCACTTGAACTTTAAGGATATAGGAAAACTGTTAAACTCTTGAGTGTTTTTTAGGCAGAACATTTTTAAATTCACAGATATTGTTCTTAGTTTGTAAACGTTCCCTATTACATATAATTCACAATGTTTGACACAGAAAATTTACATATGATATTACTCTGTGTCTTATATTGAATTAAATTATTATAATTTGAATACTGTTGTTATTGTATTGCTACGCATTTACTTGCACTCTAAGTGAAATAAATAACAGTAAGAAAAAGTAATTAAACGGCATAGAACAACATTTTGGGTCACAGTATATTTCATATTTCGGTTATTAGCAAAACAGTTATTTGTAATGAATGAAAAGGAATAGAAAATCGAACTAATTCTTAACAATATTTATATACCACATGTACGAACTGCTAGGACAATAATATTTGATTTTCATTTTTATGGATAAAAACTCTCTACAAGAAATTAAGAAATATTATTTATTTTTTCATAAAAAACGTACTGTTTTGCAAAAACTTATAAACATCTTCAAGTTGATTCTGTTGATATTTTCATTAGATCTCATCAAAGAGTTTCATATTTTTCTATCAGAATGTTTTAAAAATCATTTTTTCATCATAAAATGTCTGTATACATCTAGGTTCAGCAAAGAATTTTGTGTAGCTGGTACTCTTTTCATTCACATTTTTCACACTTGGGATCTTTTGTATTCCAAACTTTTGTATACTGTAGTTCTAAATTTGATGTACTTTGAAGTAATTATCTCACAATTTTGTGTGCATTTATTGAATTATAATAAAATTACTGTATTATTATTTCAGTTACATTTTAATTAATATTTTCATTCTGGGATATACAGTCTCAAACCTTACCTAGTGTGCAGTGTTCCAGATTTAGAAAACATTTTGAACAAATAAGATCTTACTTCAAAATAGCTTTCTGTCCATCTTATCAAAAGAATGTAATCTGTCACTGAATAACAAATTTTCTAAAATTCCAGTCTTGTCATTTCATCCTTTCGTCTATATTCTACTTTATATTAATAACTTCTTACAATCCAAGGTACCCTTCTAATGTTTTTAATCTGATGCTATACTGTAGGCTGTTTTCATATTTCAAATAAAACTATTTTCCTGTAATTCTATATATTCTTTTTATTAATTTGTCTTATCTTGATTCAGATTTATTAATTTGATTATATAATTTTATATACTACTTGCACAATACTAACAGTTTTGGCTCAGATAATTAGACTTTTTTAATTCTTTCCAGACATTGTTTAAATATTCATTGTATAACTGAAAAGCTGTAATACTAAAGGTAAATAAAGGAAGAAACTAAAGCATATTTCATGCATCTTCTTCTTGTCCCTCTTTTTTAATTCATGCAGTGTATATATTTCTCGTTGACTGTTCGTTATTGGCTCTAGTGTAGAATTGGGTGCCCCTTCGATTAGCGCAGGGGCGTAGCTAGAGGGGGCATCTATCCCCGGGCGCAGAATCCAAGGGGCTCCAAACTGATGTTACGACATGTTAGAATTAAATGTTTCCCATCCTTGGCAAGCAGTAGGGGCGCGAAATCTCTTCAGTTGTCCCTGGGCGCTGAAAACCCTAGCTATGGATTAGCGACAATTTTTTAAAAAATTTTGCCGATGAAACCTCACTTCTGGTTCCCATGATAGTTTTAACTGTGTTTTAGCTTCCTGAATTTATTTAAATGAAAATAGATTGATGTGTACATGGACAAATTTAAGGCAGTGTGTAATGCCTAGTTTGTGCAATTCTAAGATGTTTTTTTTTAAGTGAAAACAGATTGATGTGTACATGGACACAGAGTTTGTGCAATTTTTTGACTTCTTATTTTGGTTTTGTGTAGCGGCCATCTTGAAATTATGCCTTCCTGGCACTGATCTTGGCGTCAAAAAAGAATCCCCAAAAAACAAAGGGCACCCAATTATAAACTTTTACCCATTATTTTTATAATTTGCATGTATTGATATGCATATTTTCATAAATTTTGCATTGTTACTCATTTCATTCTGATATTCTGTTTATTTATTACATCAATTAATGGAAATTTATTTGTTTTGTCAAAGTTTAGTTATTGTTTATTAACTCCCAGTAAATTTAATGTGAAACAGAGTTTCTTTGAGTACTTTTCTCTAGTGCTGTAAATATTTATACATAGCTGTCTGTTTCTATACTTATTTAAGGATTTTGATTTTCCATTAAAAACAAGAATCAAAATTCAATTTTATAAAGCTAATTACTACAATTAAAATATTTGTTGCAAATAAATGCATTTAAAATTTTAAAAGACTTAAAAACAGTTTAAGTAACTACAATTTTAAGTTTGCGTTGTTGGAATTTCAAGTAAAAATGCAATTAATTTGAATATTTTATGCTAACTTAATTAGAGTTTTAAAGCATTCAATATAGTATTACATTAAAAATTCTGCATTATTTAATTTCATCGAGAACACACTGAACCTTCATTACAATATTTCAGTGCATTCAATATTTTCAGAAATATACTTCTTCTAAAATTGAAAATATAATTATTTTTTAAGAAACACTTCATTAAAAAATTAACTGATGGCTATTTTATTCATATTTCCCTAATTAGTTATTTTTGAAACTGTATTTGATGGATAGTCAATTTATGGCAAAGTGCACAAAAGCTGTCTGCTTAAGAGGAATCTTTCCTTCGTGAAAGATTACGTAACATTCGTATTCACTGTGCACATAGGAAAAATTATGAAGACAAATTGTTCGCCAATAATCTAACCTGGATTGAATTACCAATCCTTAGAGATTAATTTCTGGGTATTTACTTTAAAGATAATTTCTGTACTAAAATGTTGAGAACATAGGGGTTATTTAAATGTGCAGCTGTTATAAAAGTAACACTTTGTAATAAAATAGTAAAAATTATCTTTGAGATTCTTGTAAGAGATAAAGTTCATCATTATTATTCTTAATGGAGGCTTTTCTTAAGTTTTAGTTAGAATCATTAATATGCATGAATCACATATAGAGCAGAAACCACACAAAATTTAATTTTCTTTCTGAATTTTGAATTAAAATTCTGAACAGATTTTATTTGTTTAACAACTAGTGAAGAACCTTTGGGTATTTACAAAAATTATGCATTTTCTATATTAAGGTCTGATTAATAGATTTTTTATTTTTTTTATATACTATGAGAAGTATAGACATAATTATTTCTCAAACCTGTTCATGACTTTAGCCATTAAACAAATCTATAATAATATTAGATTAGATATAACCACAGATTCTCGTAAAGTTCACTATGGTTCTTTCTTGTAATTATAAAAGTTGAGTTTTTTTTTTTTTTTTTAAATTACTAGAATTTTATGTGTCAGATACCTAAAGATAAAAAATTATAGTTTAATTAAACTTTGAAAAATGCAGCTCAGTATCCAAGCATGCAAAAGAAGCATAAAAATATTTATTCATGAATACATGAAAAAATCCAAAAAGCAGTATCCATTTAGGATAAAATATTTAAAAGAAAAAGATAGAGACTGTTAGTTTAGTAAAATCTTTTTTATATTAAAAGTACCTAACCTTATATTAAAGGCAAACAGGCTGGCTGCGGGTGTTTTGTGGTTTTCCCCATGTGTAATTTTCCCATTAGCAAAACTTTCTGGGCCAATAGCACTCCTAAACAAGTCTAACTTGGGGTTCAGTAGCGTAGATCGTCAACATATCTACGACGAACGTTACAGAACCTCCTTGAAAGATTCCGATGCGGCCACTAGTCGTACGCATTAAAACCGCGGAAACGGTATATTCACGGACAAGAGAAGGGAAGTTGTGTGTTCCTTTCTCTTTCCAGATCAACAAACGTCTAAATCACTGTTTATACTACGTGGTGGACTTCTCAGTAACAATACGAGACTCGCGATCAGTCGTTGGGCTCCACTGAACATGACGACGGTACCAGTTTAAACGGGCCCCTCTGGAAGATGGAGTGAATGGGGACACAAACCATGGTTTTTGTAAGTCCACCCGTTAACCTTCGGCAGAGAACGGCTTCGAGTCTATCGACAGAAGCTCTAACCATCCTTCAGTTTTTGCTGAACAAGGTTAAACACTTGAGCATTTTGCTCTGTCGCCGTGATAAGCTTCGTAACCGATTCTTATTTTTGTTTCGCTAATACCTTGCAAGTTCATAGGATATGTTTCATGTTTTGCAGGTGTAATCTTTGGCATGAAAATACAGTTATATCTTGAACAGATCACTTCCACATACACAAATGATATACCATAACACAAAATATTCTGGTGAAATCCTATCTGAAATGATCTAAATTTTTGTGTCATGTTTCTCAGTATAAATCATACATACACACCATACATCTCGTATCTAAAAAATATTTTTCCTTACGTATATCATTACAGTATTCATTTATGAAACCTCTCATTTTCTAAAAATGCAGGTTTTATTCCATATACTTTTGACACTTTGACGTTTTCAATCTGTAATAGTGCTCAACTAGACCCAATATTTAAAATTGCTTGTTGTAGGCTTTTTACACCCCTATTCTGCATATCACAATATTAGTTGCTGTTATAATCAGTCACATTTATTCATGCTGTGAGAGAAAAACAGCACA